TTTCATTTCTCTATAAATATCTAATTTATTCGAATGCTTGTAATATTTTAGAAGGAAAAGGTACGACTTTGGTTACAAATTAAGCTCGTAGACAAATTGAAAAAGAACGCAAGTGTCAGCGAATTGTACGCGTAGAAACGTAGATGTCGACTTCTACGGTAACAGCTAACAAACAGAAATTCAAGTTCTTCCTGTAAATATTTACACGTCTCTGAGAGTAAAGCAATATATGTTTTATTCTTCTATTGGAAGATAACGTTCATTTTTCAGAGAAATCATTCTTTATTATTTAAAGTCTTTATCTTTAAAAGTAGTCGGGGCGGTCACGTACGAAGTATCGTGTAGCATTTGAGGAAATCTATCAAATACCTTTATCGTTCGTAATCGCTTATCTCCGTGGTATCGTCCTAAATATATCCCTATTATTTGCTTACAAGAATCTCATAACACCGCGATACGCGATATGAAATGTTAAAAGTCTAACTGACCGTGACTCATGGCACCAATTATCTATCAAACCATTAGATTCGATTTAGATATTCGAATAAAGGTAAGGCAACGTCGTTTATTCCAACAAATCCGAATTAATCTAAACGAGCCATCTGAAATTTCTAAATTTCCAATAGACGCGTCTCGAATAAACTAAACTTCTATAATACGTCAATCTGTTGGAGATCGTATGAAGAGCCGCGCGTCTTCGATGATCTCGTTCGAAACCACTAGCTTTTCCACGGTTGATGGGTGTGTACTTTCCCGGCTATAGAAATCGAAGTTAACCGACACCGGCTAGAAAATCGAATCCAGCGATCGAAACAAATTAGTGGTCTTTTTCTCTTTTGGCTTTCACGCAATTTTCACTCGAAGAGACGAGGCAGGTGTGTCTCTCTGTGAACGCCTCGATTCGAATTTCCTCCCGTGGTCTTTCTCCGCAGTTCAATACCCGAACACCGTCTTAACCGCGAAACGCCAATTATGTTTTATCTAAACGTCGATCTTCAATATCAGATAAGACCGAGCCTCTTCCGCAGGCATTGTTCTCGCGCGGACGAGACCGAGTCGCCGGGAAAAACTCACCGACGAGCCGACGAGCCAGTCGAAAGCAACACGGTCCGCACCGCGGACAGATAAAGTGGAACAATCGCGCGTAATCGTACGCAATCTATGGGAGAAAGTGGGCTAATGCGAGCTGCGGATAGACTCGGGACCCGCAACGTCTTTGTTCTCTGCTGATTCCAGCTACTTCGCTTCGCAGGAGACAAAGATCGTATAGTCGCTGCAACAGATACAGTAGGTGTGAACGAAGTTCGATCGAACTGGTAGTAGTAGCAGCGTTATCTGTGCGCTTGAACTCTAAAATTTCATTGATTCGATGATTCTAATACCCGTTTGCTGATCTAACATTTTCTTTGCCGATCCGAGTTTAAAGCTGTGTGGGTATTCGACGACGCGACTTCAGTACGACTTTCTTGTTTTTAAAAGAGGAAGAAACTGAACTCTTGATTAATGCGAGCGAAAGCGACAAATTGTCGTCAGCGTGCGTATAGCCTAAATACGTTCGTAACGAGTACGTGGAACGAGTCGATACATTTCGTTCAAGATGACTCGTTCGATCAAAGTACTGAAAAGGATGGCTTAAAAGATACGACTTTGAAATACTTTGCTTATTGCGGGTTTCGTGATGTACACGTGTCAGGATAAATGAAGAAGCTGCGTCGATCGTTGCTGTTGAAGATTGCGTAAACTTTCAGTAAATATTCGCGTTAGATGGGAAAGTGGATAGCTTCGTCAGACTCGATGATGTTTTTTTATAGTTTTGGCTAGCACGAATTTGTGGCAGGTCGTTAAATTTTATAGTTATTAGCTTTGTTGCGAATATTTTGTTAGAAGAATTAGTACACGTGGATTTTCAATGGTGTCTGGCATTGGTTCGGACGAAATGGCGATGAGACGACTTTCCAAACTACTGTACGTTGCGTTGGCTGTTGGAAAAACGCGTATAATCGATTTGGCGGCGATACACGTGACAAGGAAAAGCACGAAATTTGCGATTCGCATCGCAATCAACCGACCGTTCTACCGGATTCTGTTCGTTGATGATTCATGCCGCGCGATTTTCCTTTTTCACAAAGGGGCAGATTAGATCGTTATCCTGGCGGATCTCTATATTTCTCTATTTTGCTGTGGTTGGAAATAAATCACTGTTCGGGTCATCGCGGCGCACAGCGAGCGCGGACACTCTACGCTTGGGTGCAAAGGTTAAGCACACGCGTACAAAAGAAAGCAGTTAAATGCCTTTATTGCTTCCGCGAAGCAAGTCAAGCATTTCGACGCAGTGCTCATTACGCTTCCACTGGTGGCTTGCGAGAGAACGTCTCTCGTTCCTCTGTGAAAATTTCCGTTCGTTCTCTCTACGCTGTATAACCAGCCCAATGTATTTGATTACACGTAACAAGAAACTAGATGCAACGACAGGGTAACGTGAAATTTCATTGCAACGGATTATCGTGATACGCGCTGCTCTGTCGAAGGTCGATAGAAAGCTTCCACGTAGATACATATGGCGCGTGTTATATAAAACATTTTTCAATTTTATTGGCGCTGCAACGAGACACGACGATTGTCGTGATTAATATTCTTTACCGTATTTTTTTACCGTATTAATATTCTTTACCGGATATTTACCGTAAAAATATATTTGGCAAAAAATTAGTATACAGTCTGAATAATCATTTCGAGCGCATAAGTATGAAATATCGAAATTTATTGACAGATGCGTATGTGTAAGACGGTGCAAACTAGTTGTTTTAATCGATCGACTCGCGAGGTGTGATCTCGCGCGTAAAACTCGAAACAGAGGGATCGTATTCCGTAAAATATCGCGTACGGGGTAACGGCATAATCGACGATGTAAAGCAGACACACGGCTAATTTGAAGAAAAACACCGGGTTAATTATGTGCAAAGGACGATTATTCACGGAATAAGAAAGTAGAGTGGAAGGCAAAAAGGAAACGAGGACCGTGCGCGGCTGCTCTTATCGCTAATTTAAATCCCGCCGTGGGCAGGAAAATCATAATCCTACTTTATACTTCCTTCGCAGTGGGAATATCATGGTCGAACGATGATCCGCGCGCAGGAAACTCGCCGCGTTGTATTTCTGCGGGCATCGTATCGCTTTCCTTCTCGTGCTGCACCGCCTATTCGGCGTGATTCGTTCCTTTTTTTCGCTGCGAGCCTCGAATTGATGAATTTCACCTGGTCAGGCGTTCGTAGAAAGGAGGAAACCGAAGACAGGACTGAAAAGCGAGAAAGTGTGGCTGTCTGCATTGGGCCGCGACGAGCTTCGTATCACTTCAGCTGCATATCGGAAGTGCTATATTTGTACTTACGCTTATTACGGTATAATTGACAGATGAAATACCTGTTTGAATTTGATGCTCGATTAAATTTAGACGAGAAAGTTGCGAATAGTCGCTGTCACTCAACACGTACTTAATCATTTTGCCAACAAAAACGTCAACAGCTGTTGTCGTGGAATGTAATGTTAAAGGAAATGGTCCGTTAAGTTTCATACTCGTAATCTTCAGATTAGACAAATTGTAAATGAGATAATTATAGCTTTAGGACGCAGAACTATATCTTGTCACGATTCTAACGACTTTAGGATAGTTGAAATTTTGGCGTTTACTAATCTATCTGCGGGCATTCGATATCGATACATTAGACTCGAATCGTAAAACGAATTCTAGTACTCAGCGTTGCTCTATATTTACCATCGTATGATCTACGAATCAGTTGGACACGTTAATATGGCTGATTTCGAGTTGTTCAGAATCGGACTGTGATCTAGTCCATAGCGTAATCCACGACAGGTCAATTAGATCTAAATTGTGAGATCTATCACGGACTATAGATCGCTCAATTAGCTGTAAATATTCTTCGGTTTCACGAATCTTGAGTTTTATGGTTCGAACTTGTGAAACCCAGCAAAGATCACCACAGAGCCGCGAGTCGTTGAGCCATCCTTGAATCACTCGAGCACCACCTAACCGCGAAGGACCTTGAGGTCGTGGAACTTGCTAGGGATTTCTTGAGATGGTGTAAGACGTGGATTCCAATGATACAAGGCGGATCTCATGATCCAGGGGTCAGGCAGCTGGAAGTGTCACGACCCCGATGTGATCCGTAGCGAGTGTCACGACTACAGGGTTTGCGCAGTGTCCGATGACTCTGTGGTGGTTCGTGGCTAGATCCACAACTTCTGGGTCAGATGACTTGAAATCTGACATCGATGGTGTCAACTAGCGATATCCACGTTTCCTACAGCTGGCTTTGACGTACTCTGTACGAGACCTTGAGGATCAAGCTATCAAGGTTTCATGACCTCAGGGTGGCTCGTGATACGTTCGGTGATTCTGGGTCGGCAAAATAATTATTCAAAGTCGTTAATTTCTTCTTCCTTTTTTTTGTCGGCGATTTATCTGACCGGAATTTTAATGTACTGCTTTAATAGTGTTATTATGCAGCACATGCTTGTAAATGCATGACTTAATCTACCAGTGGTCGGCGTGAAAGAAAACTTTCGGGAGATCGCCTCTGATAACGGTACTTGGTCGAAACGCAATTTAAAGCCCATAAATCGATCTTCGCGTGGGCTTCCGGGTACTTTCGAATATTCGTATACTTAATAACCATACATTTCGCTGTTCACTTAACACGCTTTCCAATCCTGAAGATGATACTAATTTCGATACTTAACATTAGCTGATTTATGTACTCGTTGGTGTTTGTCATTAGTAGCTTGAAATTTAACGTGGAACGATAGCATTTGAATCATATTACAGCCACTGACACCTTCTATGGTATTTTTACTGTATCATACACGAAACACTTGCATTCTATTCGTGCAAAATTTACCCCATCGTTTATAACAATCACGGTATTTCTGAACGATAAACTTCTACATTTGGTAACCGTAGGATGAATCCTTTATGATTACAGGTACTCCAACGAGACATAGAAGCGCATGGTCGAATCGTCAGTTCGGTCGTTAAATTAGGAGATAAAGTTGTCAGTCAGCAGCAAGCACAGCAAAAGGAGCAGGAACAAGATCAAGAGGAGCAACGGGAACAACGGGAACAACGAGAACCGCCACAAGCTTTACGAACAGCGAGATCTTTGGAACGCCGATGGCATTTGCTGTTTCTACGAGCTTTGGAATGGCAGTGTCACATCGAAACTCTTGTGTCTCGTATAAGCAGTAAGGTGAGTACATTCTTGTTTTTGCTAAATTTTATACTTTCGCGAATAATTGCTACAAAATAGACTAAGCGAATAACGAGTACTAAATTCATCTAAATCACAAATAAAGATTCACCGATGCCGACTATTAACCGCGCTACTTCTATTCAAATCAAATACAACGAACAGTACACCTGTTCGAGATTTATCACTCGGAATTATTGTACGAAACGGCAATTTGTTTTCCATACTCGCTGAAGTGAGCTAACTAACGTTACCAACATTCCTGATAAGTCCATTCACAATGGCAACTGATTAGAATTACAAAAACAGATGTCAGGGGAAACGGTCTCGTGAAACGATCTGCTAGAAGAGCAAGCTTCAAATTAGAAACTCTAGCACAAAAGGAGATAATTTGCATTAAGTGTAACTACACTCATTTACCTCCATGTTAAAGGAGAATTCTTAGCTTGGGAACTGAAAAAGAAATACATAGTTCGAACATGTTTGTATTAACCCTTAGTATACAAAAGTGGGATGATCGATGATTTTTCCAAGAGTTCTTTGCCAGATCACACTTTTCGTATAAATTTAACGTACTACCGTAGTTTCGTCACTTTCGTTAAATCGGACAAGGATATCATTGATAATGAAATTTTATCTGAGATACGGTTTCTAAAAAGTATTCTAATTATTTATTAATTAGCTTTTAATTAAGTCGGTGTATTAAATTTCGTACCATTTAGTAGTAATTTCACGCGACTGCAAGAACTTGATTCGAATTAATCGTCATTCAAGCGAATTTTATCACTGGCTCAATATCAGAACGTATCATCAAAGTTTCTCCAAAGATCAGTATGCTTCATGATCTTCGATCTTTTCACCGTATTTATCGAGGAATTTGCGTATTCACGGTGCACGCGATTGAGAACGTTTTAGTTAAACGTTATCCTGTTCGACTTTTGTGCGTGTGCCGGGTTAATGGAATGTTGCACGTTTTCATTACGCGCACGTTTACATGCGCTCTGGGTAACTTAATTATTGACAGGGATTTATGGGTTAAGAGGATGACGTCTTTGATGTGATTATTAAGCGTACGGTGCTTTTAGTTTATTAACTTCTTCTCTTTAATTTAGAGATTCGAAAACATAAAACTACAATTTTTTCAGCTGCCAACCGTATCTCCATTTTGAGTAAAAGTTATATATTAACAAAATTCTTCTTACAAGAAATTTAATGATATTGTGTTATAGTTAGGGTATATAATTATGCAACAAACCTGTCTTTTCAGAGGCAGGTTATCTTAGCAGTTTAATAAAACCACGCTATATAACCGGAAACTTTCAACAAGTGTACAGATGGAAGTGATTTTTGCACTGTTAACCGAATTATCGAGTTGCGAATTATCTCGACATTGACGTGATTCTTTTTCAGCTATAAAATTCTCACATTTCCGTAAACATTTTCTCTACCTCTATATTCATATTCTACAAACACAGACGTGTAAAAAGTAAGCAATAAAAGAAGACACGCTAATTGTACGGAACTATATTACTAGTTTCTCGTAGTGCTATCAAGGATTTCTCAGCCAGGAATTTCTCTACTTTTGTTATTAGCCTTTTAGTAGCAGCGTAAAACCCGTGCCACCCAGTGGAACGAGTGTCCACGTGAAAGAACAAATGAATGCACGCCGTTAAAAAGATTTCACGATGTTCGGTGTTGTCGGTTTGGCCATTAACTCGCAATCGCGTAGCGAATGCGTTCCTCTTCATGCCCGTTCATTCTCTCGAAACCACGTGAAAGTTCGTCCAGCCAGCGTTGACCGTAAAAATTTATTAATTCTACAGTACGATGCTAAGAATCGGATGCTTTTATTTCTCTACCGTCCGTTCCTCATATTTCCCCTCCCCCCCTTGGTTTTGTTTCTTTTCGTTTTAAACGTCGAACGATCTTCAATTTATACCAAAGGGGCTTGTTTCAATGGATACTTTGCGACTATTATCGCGAGTTTAGGTATCTCGGATGATCCTCGTTAAGCGAGTATTTCGCATTTATTTTTACGATTATCGAGTGTACGGTTGAAATCTTCGACGAGTTTCTTAGATCGCTTTGTATGTTAACGAGATGATTGGCTCTCGCGAAGGTTCCGTAATTTTAGTGCAACGAGGAAGTCTGCTTGCCTCTATGTAGGAGGCTTGTAAGTGAATATGATAATACCTCGAGTGTTCGCCGAACAGTCTTACTAGTGGGTGTTTGCGAATGAGATGAGATTTGTGCGGCTTGAAGCGTGTCTTGTTCAACGTGATTAACAGGCAGCGAGAAATTACAGTTGGTTTTTGCGTCTCCTATTATACAACAATTTTTCAGATTGCGCGCCAATGTATTTTCTATCGAATATTTTATTAATACTTGTATGTATGTGTAACGAATAATTCGCATTCTCTTAATACTTTCACGAATCATTAAGAAACGAGATCAAATTTTATTTTATGATACTAAATATGTAATTACACGATCGACGCTAGAATACCATTATTCTATAATTACGTCGTTTATAAGAAACGCCAGTTTATCTGAATCGCAGCACAGGACAGGCAAAGCGTATCATCGACCTGTATCGAGAATCGGGCCGATCGTACACAGCCTCGTAAGCAAGCAGGAAGCACGAGAACGTTGTGTCCCTGTTTTTACGGCCTCCACGAAACCTACATCCTCCGAGATAGAGCTAGTCCGCACTAAATTTATAATCGAATAAAAAGTGTCAGCTTAACCAGGGAAATCGTTAATTATTAGGACGAATTGCATCCGGGGAGAGCACATACGATAAATCGACCGATTGCGACTACGTTCTTACTCTCTGTTCCCGTCCTTTTCCTATTTTTCTCTGCCTTTTTTACTTTTTCTTTTTCGGGCAAATTTATCCGTGTCGAACAAACGCTCGAAGCAACCGGCCATTCATATCGGCCGAACGTGTTTGCACGGTAAAGCGATCCCGCGCATAAAGTTCGATTAACGCGAGCAATCAGCCTGGCGCGTGTATACAAAGGCCCGGTTTCACTCGCGCTCATAGACCGTGCTAGATGCAACGTGTGTCCGCCTAAAACTTTCACGCGTACCGACGCGGCAAGGCTTTCCGGTCTGTCCTGAATTTGGATTTTTCACGCCTTCCTCCGCGCTGATTCTGCTCGTTTCGCGCGGTGTCGCTTCGTTCGCTTTCAGAAAGAACAAGCACAGTGTAGGCTAACGCGGGGTTGCTCGATTAATTCGTCTTGTCAAGATCGAATTCGAAGATGACGGAGTTCAAACGATTCGAATAATATCGCTATGTTTTCATTAGCCGGAAACACTTCGAAAATGTGCTTCTCCTTTTGTATCTCGATGAAAAGCTCGTTGTCAGATCGTAGTAGCCAAGAGGGTCGCGGTAAGTGCCACTAAGTGCCTTCTTCGGTGAAGGAGACAAGAAAAACACGTTTGCCAGCATGTCGAAGGATCACACGCGTCAAGTTCCCGAAGAGAAACCGTGGCTGCGAGGAAGAAGGGGGTTGACCACGATTTTTTTTTCTATACGCGAAGCAGCACAACGTTATACGCTTGGTAAAAGGAAACCTCGCGTTGGATGATTTTTACTTTCGTCTGCCTTCGAGTGAAACGTGACATCAGCCTCCGTTTTCATTGATGAACACGAAGGCTACGTTGAATACTATGGCGTGTTGATAGTACGTTGCACGTAAGAGCGAAGCAACGTAATTTGCACGCGCCTCGGTGCCGCTCGAGTAGTCGATCCAAGTTTAATCGTTAGGTAATTGGCCATGCTCAAAGAGTTAATGGTTGATCCACTGCAAGGAATTAGCCAAGCTATCCAACGATTTGTTGATTCATTTTTAATCAGGAGATTTCTCCGAGCCTCCACGGTGGTTTTCTTTTTCTGTTTCATCGGGCCGAGGCGGCAGATTTCGTGGCTGACGGCGATCGCTTAGAAAATTACCTCATTTCGTGGGATGCTTAACGACTCGTGCGATGATACTCGCGGGGTGCGCATGAAAGTGGAATATTTAGCGGCAAGTTTCACTGTGGAGCACGAGATGCCACGGTGATATATATCCGCGTGGCGATTACCACGAAGCACGTGAAACTTGTACGTGCGAATTTACGGAAGAGTGTGAAATTCGATCGCAAACGAAAAATCGGATATTATAGTAAATGTCGTAGTAGGAACGAGTGACAGAGACTGTGATAGATCGGTCGAATTATGTTGGGAAGCAGATCGTGGTGCGGAAAATTGAGTTATTATTATCTGCAGAGTATTTTTCCCCTCATTCATTTCCAATTTTCATTATCCCATCGTTTCTCATGGATACTGTTGTCGTTGATGAATACTGTTAAAATAAGAAACACGATAGGAAACGAAATATTTCAAAAGATGGAAAGCCGTAATTTTCATTTGATTAACTGCTCGCACGGTAGACTCGCTCTTGTTTCAAGGAAACTCAACGACTAAAGTAATAAGTAATATTTAAGCCCGGTAAAAGCGGTAAAAGTGAAATGAAATACTTTGAATTGCGGAAAGATCGCATTTCCTGGAACATAAGTCTTCCCAGACAGCGTGCGCTGCTAGGGATCTTTTTAGAAATGGTATCGCCACGATTTCATCGCTGAACTTGGTGACTCACCGTTCGAAATATCGACTCAACGTTACGATATCATTGAAAAAACGCGAGTCTCGCCGATATGGCTAACATCACGTACTCGCCGATTCTTTGGAAACATTTATCCTTTTCGGAGTTGTTTCGTCTCTCGAGAAGAGCGGAGAGAAGCGATATAACTGGTCGAACTTGTCCCACGCGCCATAATCGCGTAAAATATTCCTATTAATCGATGTTGGCGCTCCAAGTGACCATAAATCGTCGTTTTCTCCGTAGGACAATTTTCACTTACGGAAATCGATGTCGAACTTGGTGTTAACACGTAGCGAACCATTCGTGTAGAGAATTAACGGAGTAAATGAAACATAAACAATCTTTCGA